AACCCTACTTAGGTGCCACGATAGAGATATCTAAGTGCGGGACCCTGGGGTGCAGGCTGGCAGCAGGTGTACGAGTTGGATGTCAGACCGAGTTGCGTGGGCTTCACCTGTGAGCAAAGGGAGCCTTACTGCATTTTGAAACAAGTGTCTCCCCGTACCAGGTTAGTGCTTTACAAACAGACCAACTCAATATATTTATTTTTAATAAACACAGATGATTTTTAAGGTAAAAATTAAAGTATCTGCATCCTGGAAAAATAATGCCAAATGTCAGGAAACAGCAGATGGGCAGGAACCTGGTTGAATTGTTGGCCTGTATGCCCAGTGGAATGAACCCTGGGCTTGGAGAGAGAGACTTGTATTCAGTTCAGTCCCTCCTACTGACTCTCCAGGTGACCTTGAGAAAGTATCCTCCCTGTCTCGACTCAGGTCCCTCGCCTGTGCACTGGAAATACTGGCACCCAAATCACACGACTGGTCTCAGGGCCAAATGGGGTGTCAAAGGGCATCGGACATCTGTACGCATTTGACAATGGAAAGAGTTAAGGGGAAGCTCCAGAAGGTGCCCTATACACCGGGACATTTCAGATACCCTACTGCCTGCTGCCAACGCACAGCCCAGCAGTTTCTCGGGAAGTCTCCCTCAGCTGCTCCGGCTCAAATCAAAGTCTGTCCTGTAAAAACATGGCCCTATCCAGAGATGCAATCACCCATGTGTTTGGCGGGCCACCTGCCCACGGGGTGCAGCCTGTTGGGCCATGAACGTCAACCACGGCCCCTTCGTGGTGGCAGCAGGAACAGGGGTATGGCTTGTTCTCCGAGAGCAGAGCACTGGCTGGCAACGAGGAACATTTTGAGGTGGGACTCGTCTTCCTGCACTAGGGGCAGCTGTCTACATAAGGCGTCCATTATGTGCTTGGGCCTGAGGGCAGTGGCCCTGAGAGGCTAAGCTAAAATTAGTGTAAAATGTGTACCCGCCAGAGACACAGAACATCCGAAGGTCAGACGCCTCCAGCCAGCCACCCGGGCAGGAGTGGGGGCGAGGGCACAGAACAGCTGTGGTAGCAGCTGCCTCCGGTTCCTCCCGGGCACAGGGTGATGGCCCTGCCCAGAGGCCTGGCTCAATAGCTCAGCCTGAGTTAAAAAATAGAAGGCAGAGTACAAGTCCCAATACATATTTTTTAAAAACCTGTGTACATGTATAGAAAAGAGGTGGGAGAGAAATTCACTGAAATATAAAGAGACTCAGTCTCGAACATGGAAGTGGGTGAATTTTTTTCTTTTCCTGTACTTGACAAAAATTTTCTCAGTAAATATGCATTACTTTTGTAATTAGAAGAAAACACAATAAAAGATGCTGCCAATTATATATTTACATGCAATATTATCTAGTATAAATCTTAAATTTATAAATATGTTTACATTGTATATTCTTATATATCGTATCTGTATATATGTTAATAAATATATTCAAATATCTAGTCCACTGGGGCAGGTCAGGTAAGGAAGACCTTCCTGGGTCTTTGGGCCAGGAAGAGTTGGCTGGAGAGGCTGTCATTCAACTTGCCTGGTCCCTGCCAGCCTTGTAAGGCCTTGGTGCCAGCTGTAGCCTCTGCCTGCTGCACCTGCCCCCACCCCCAATTTCTGCCCCAACTCTTTCAGGACCCCATTCATCTGTGCAGTTATGTATTCACATATACCACATTTTTACTGAGTGTTCACTACATGCTAGACCAAGACAGACAATCCCAGTCTGTTGGTGCCTCTAGTTGTTAAAGGGCTCATGCTACTCTGGGTCATCCCAGTGTGGACTCTGAGGTCAGATTGCCAGGATTCAACCTGGCAAGACACTTTCCAGCTGTGTGTGCTTGGGCCAGTTACCCAGCCTCTCTGCATCATCAGTTCTGCTTTTCTATAACAGAGGGCTATGCAGCACCTGCCTTATAGAGCTGTTGTGCAGGTGGAGTGTAAGTCCTTACACAGTTCTGGAACAGTGCCTGGGCATGGAGTAAGTGCTCAAGAATCATTAGTTATTATAATTATTCTTGTAATTACCAGCTGGCTCAGATTTCCTCCTTATGATACCCCAATGCCCTCGTCTCCCCCATGACCCTTTGAGTACCCACCTCCCCCAGATAAAGCATCAAAGCCATGAGGCATGGACATTTGAGGGCCTGCCCACCTTCCTCTGTCCTTGGGGCAGGGACCAAGTTTGATTCATCTCTATCCCAGCCCCCAATACCATCTTAATAACACCCCCTAGGATTACTTCAGAGTTGCAGGTAATTCTGCCCTCAACTCCAACCAAGAAAAGCCTTAGAAGCGCCTGGCTGCCTGAGCACTAGGAATTGCAGATGTGGCCTGATCCTGTAGTCACAAATGTTTTTCTTAAACTGTAAAGCCTGGCCTGGATGTGGCCCTCTCAGCTGACTGAGGCTGGGTGCTCAGCTTCCCTTAATGCTGCTGTGACATGGGGCAGGTCACCATCAACACTGCCACTCATCTCCTTCCACTGCGCCCTCCCCCTGCCATGTGGCAGGGCTGTGCCTTTGCATGATCTGGTCCCTCTGCCTGGGGCCCTTGCTTCCTTCCTGAGGTCCTTCTGTTCTGACAAATCCCTCTGACCCTCCCCAGTCTGCTCGGCACCCCTTCTCTCGGCACCCCACAGATCATGTCCTGCCCGCCCTCTCTACATGGGCTCCTGCCGCCGCTCTCTCTCATGGTACATTGTCCTTTGTTTAGGTGTCCCTCCTGAGAAGGGACTGTCGTCTTCCTGTCTGGACTTAGAGGGTCCACCTGGATCGTGGGGGTGTCAGGAATGAGTTTTTCAAAGGAAAGTCAAACCAGCTGGTCTGCTTTCCTGCTGAAGCATATGTGCTAACTGCTCATGCCACCTTTTGAACCCCAAACCTCACAGGTCTTTGGAGGCCCCGCTACCCACAGTAGCCATGTGCCCTGTCAGAGGGACACAGGTTGGCAGAAGAGCCAATGTAGGGCCTGGGTCAGCTGTAGAGCTTCACCTGGGCCAGCCTTTCACACAAACTCTTGCAGTTTGATTCTGGAACCACCTGGGGACATGGTATTTTAGAGATGTAGACCCTGAGGCCTAGACCAGTTGCATGCTTTCCACTGGGGTGACAGGGCAGACTGGGGGTACAGCTCCCAGCCCCCAAGCCTACTCTTTCTACTATACCATGAAAGCGTTTTAAGTTCTGCCAAGAGAGGAAACTGTAAAACTACAAAATTGCAAAGTATTATCCACCACATAGAAAATGACCCCAGGGTTTGAGCCACCTTATTATTTAGAGGAGAGGACAGAAAGGGGCTTTAATAACATGGCTAACTCCTTAAAAGTGCTGGTCAGGGGAGGGGGCCCACTGTTCTTCAGGGACAGGTGAGAGGAGAGCTGGGTGGGGCAGGGAGAGGGGGTTCCATTGGCAAGTCAAGCAGCCCTCTCCTGGAAGGAACCCTTCGGCACAGGGTGGGGCTCCAGAGTGCTTGTGCCCATGCTGCATGGGGAGACCTGAAGGACTAGAGCTCGTGAGACTCGGGGGCCACAGAACACTTTAGCCAGGGTGTCCTACCTTGAGCCTCCCAATCAGGTTCAGTGGCTTGTGACATGACGTCCTCTCAGCTCTCAGCCTCTCTCCCAGCTCAGAAGCCCCACAGAGCTGACCCTATCTCTTCCTTAGTTATATATGGTACAGTCTAAGGTCCTAGGTATGCCCACCATTCCCAGCCTCACTCTAACCAGTTCCTCTGTGCCTACAACCTGAGCACCCCACCTTTGCACTTGCTGTCTCCTCAGCCTAGAATGTCCCTCCATTTTTTACCTGATGGATTTATATCCATCCTCCAGAGCCAGTTTAAGTGTCACTGTCAAATAGCCTTCCCTGAACCACCACCATAACCAAACCCAGAGAGAATGGACCCTCCTGCTTTCACAGGTTTCCTGGATGAGGGCTATTTGCATGTCATCTCCTCTTTCAGGTGGGGAGCTTCTGGAGGGCAATGACATGTCTATTCATCTCGGCCTCTGTGTCCAGCACAGAGGCTAGACCACAGGGGTATGGTGGTCATTGTGGGAACGGCTACAGCCCACCAGTCATTCCCACCTACGCAGCACTGCTGTAAATCCTGGCTGTGCCACCAGAGCCCCAAGATTAGAAATGGCACAGCAGTGGGGAGACAAAGGCTATTCCAAATGCTGGACAGAGGGCCTCGGCCTGCCCTCTAGCTCACCTCCTAACTCCCTGGCCTGCAGATCTACTGATGAGCTTTGTCCTGCACTCACTTCTGCTCTAGTGAGGGTCTCTCACCCTGCTTTGCCCCTCACCCTCCTGCTGTGGACCTGCCATTCTCAGCCACAGCAGCCTTTGCCTTTCTCATCTGGATACTACAGCCAGAGTGACTGTGGTGACACAGGAGGGTAGACATGGGGCTGAGCTTGTTAGAAGGGACACAGGCCCTGGCCCCAAATGCATACCACATCTACACAGCCCAGCCCAGGCTCTCTGCAGATGTGTGCATGGAGGAGAGTTCTAGGGAGGTGGCGTACAGCTGCATGGTGCCCTACTCCTCTCCCCTCATCCCATGGCCTTGGCCAGAGCCTGGACAGCTGGCTTCTAGCCTGTACAGTTTACTGAGTCTCTCTCCCTCACTTCTCAGACAGGGAAAGAGATACCTGAAAAGCAAGGTTCTTGCTGGAGATTTTCCTGAGCAGTAAAGGCAAACCTGGAGTCAGAACCAGCTCCTTGGCTTCCACCCCAGAACTCATCTCTGATGCCATACAGGCCAGTCACAGAAACGCCAGCTGCAGGACTCAGGGCATTTGGTAGCTTTTTCTTGAAGTCTCAGTAGAATATGAGACTCCATTTTCCTGCCAGGGCTGCAGTCATTCCCACCTACCACCTGGTCACAAATAGGGCCTTCTGGCCTTTGGGTTGTGCTAAAAGTGTGCTGTGTCCTGTGGTGTGGGGAATTAAATGGGGGGAGTTTACCTTCCACAAGTCAGCCAAAGTCTCATGGTCGGGATGTGTCAGATATCTCTAAGAGCCTGGAGGACTGTGTTGGAGGGAGGCCTGTGGGCAGTAGAGAAAGTGAGAATATTATACCACCGCCATCTGTCAGCTTTCAGTGGAGTTAAAAGATGCATCCAAAAATGGTGAGCACACCCTTGCTGAGAGTGGCCACACTGCCAAGTCCAAGTCACCACCCCTTCTCCAAGATGGTCATTGCAGAGTCAAAGTCAGGCTCCACCAGGGGTGTAGCATAGCCTCCAAACCTTGCTCACAGAGTTGAAAATCAGAGTTCATCAGCCCCTGCAGAATGCCCAGGCACTTGACTTCAGTTCTGAGGCTAAGAAACACTCATTTTCAAGCACTCCTGAAGGAAAACAGCCCCTCATTGGCTCCCTGAGTCCCCGTCATCACAGTGCAGAATTCTTTCTGTGTCAATCCATTCATCCAACCATCCATCCATGCAAGCATTCAGCAGCCATTTGGGAAGCTATGAGGTGCTGGTGTCAGGCCTTATGGAGAGGAAGTCAGTGAGAGGATAGTTGAAGTTTAGCAAGAAAGTCCCTAGTAGATCTAGGACAAGTGCCACAGGCGCCCAACCCCCAGCCTGGCGGGTTTCCTTCTCTGCATGATCTGTGTCAGATGCTGGGCAAAGCACTTTAAATACACCCTGCAGAATGGCATGGTGCTTCCCATCATTTTCAGCACAAGGACTCCTTTTTTGTACGAAAACATTTGTCAAAACCATTCCTGATGGTAACTGTACACTTAGTTTCTTTTTGCTGGGAAAACAAACAATGTAAAAGCTCCAATGAATGTAATGCTTCACAATTAACTTGTATTTTAGCAATCACAGCCCTACCACATATATCTAGATAATGGTTACACATATTCATTTGACACTTTGTTTATGTCTTCTGGGCTTAAGGCTGTGGCCTCTTGGGGATCCATTCATTCAATATTAGTTCAATAGATATTTATGAAGTACCCCTGAGGTGCCTGGCCCCAGGGTCCACAGGTTAGGGACCCTGATAGGGGGAAGAGTGGCAGTTCTGCAGTGAGGCATGCTCAGGCTCAGGTATGGCTTTTTGGCCAGGCCACTCAAGCCATTTACCAGCTCAGAGTCCTCATGAGTAAAGTGGAGATGATGATCCTGACACTGAAGAGTTGTGATGGGGATTAAATGAGATAGCACAAAACAGAAGCTCAACACATGGACCCCAGAGAATTACCTTCTTCCTCATCATCACCATCAACCTCATCATCATCACTGCTACCATCACCATAACGATCTTCATTACCCTCAACAGCAGCTACTGCATCGCCATCACGATCACCACTATCACCACCACCATCATCATGAACATAACACCATGACAGTATCTCACCATCACCATCACACCCATCACCACCAACACCATCATGAATATCATCGTTGTTAATATCAACAGGAGTAGGACCATCACCGTCATGAATGTATGTCATCACCATTGCCATCAACAGCAGCAGCACTAGCTATCATGACCATCCCTACCACCATTATTCTGCTTCATTCTAAACCCCAAGAGGCTGGTCTTGACCCATTAAAAGGTTGCACACTAGCCTCTACCTTATAATAGAGTTATTTGAATCCATATCTTTTTTCTCAGGTTGATGCCAGCACTGTAACTTCAGGGCTGTGTGAACTTGGGTGAGTTATTTAACCTGCCTGAATCTCTTTCCTCAGATGTAAAATGGGATGGTAGTTTAAGTGATTCATGCAATTGTTGTAATGATTAAATGAAATGACATATAAAAATACAGTATCTAGCATATAGTAAATACTCAATAGTTTATCATCAATATTATAGCTATTATTATTATTAATCCTCCTAGCCTGTGAGCCCTGAGGGCACAGTTCATTCTACATTCATCTCAGTTGTCCCGAAGAATCCAGCACAAGGCCTTTCTCCCAAAAGATATTAGTAAATGTTTGCTGAAATAGTCTTGAACTTCCATACTAAATCAGATGCAAAATAACTCAAGGAACAGGAGCCTGGGACATGGCCAAGGATGAAGATTCCCATTAGAGCCCTGAACATCTCAAATTCATCCTCTAAAGGGAGTGACTTGTTACCCAGGAAGCCAGTCTGCAGGCCTGCTAAGAGCATTCCTTCATTCACTCAATTGTTCAGTCATCAAGCTGATTACATGTTCACCTTGGTTTACTAACCAAGTTCTACACTGAACTCTTATTTCCATCTGCCACCTCATTTATTCTCCAGGAACATGCGTGGAGGCAGGTAAAATAGATGAGATAGATAATCCACTTTGTAAATAAGGAAATGGAGGCTTAGAGAGGCAACAAGACTCACTAAAGCACACCGTAGTCAAGGCCTGGGCGGGAAGAGGACCAAGGCCCTATTCATGTCCTTGACTCCTTCCCACAGGCCCTGTGATGTCAAACACTTTACACTCAGTCTCACTGTTGGGTTTGCTTTCAGCAAACAAAACTGAATTAAATTATTGCTGATGCCATCCCCTGCTGCAGGGAGCCTCTAGAAAGACCTACAGAAGCCTCTGGTCATGAGAGTGACACCAGAGAGGACCACCTTTGTGGGGACCTGACAGGGAGGGCTCACATTTCTCTGCTCTGAGGGGCTGTCCCCCACTCCTAAGGTTGTGCCTCTTCCACCCACACCTGAGGTACATCCTCACACCATCTCCAAAGTATCTTCAGCCATTGTGGGCTCCCATGGTTTTGGCCATTTAGCACCTTTTCCTTACTTCTGTAATAGTGGCCTGATTTGGGGGAACCAACTCTCCTAATCTTGGTGGGCAATAAATCAAGGCCCCTTGCAGTCAAGGGAGGGGGCTGAGATTAAGCTGGGCAGAGCAGATGCTATCTCCTGGGCCTCTGCATCCTCCATCTCTGCAGCCATAACAGGACCTCCACAATTCATTCCTGTCTTTTGCTCCTCCATGGGGTCCTGGATCCTTTGCTGAGGCTGGTTCTCCATCTTTTCCATTGGTTCTATGAGATTTTCAACATCTTTCCAAATTAATTCTCTTTTGCTTCTGTTGCTTACACCAAAGAGCCCTGAGGGTTTAAGGAGGAAGTAGTCAATTGTTGGGCACAAAGGACTGTGACCAGAAGCTCTGGTACCAAATAAAAATAGGAAAAGTTCAAGTTAAATATTAGGAGCCTTTGTCTTTTCTCTGCAGGCCAAGGCCTGCTTTTATTGGAGCCAGCCCCTCCCCAGGTTGAGAGGGTACCCAGTATGGTAATGATGGTTTCATTCCACTTTCCATTGACTGATTCAAGCATGGGCTTGTGACTCAGTTCTGGCCAATGGACCAGAGGAAAGCCTTTCTCAGTGCTCCCGGGGAAGGACTTCCTTGCTAATAAAAGGAGATTCTTGGGAAAATGTTCCACTTCTGCACCACCCACCAACATGTCTGCAAATGGCCCTGAGATCATCTTATAACTCTGGGTGAAATGCTGCTGACTCGATGGTGAGTTTGGCAGAGCGGAAGTGTTGGAAGGCATGTGTATTGGCTGCTAGGTTATTCACCCTTGGAACTGACCTCATTCCAGGCTTCTGGCATTAATAAACTCCTAGCGCTTAAGTCACTTGTAATTAAGTTTCTGTTACTGAGCCCAAAACATCCTGATGCCCAGTCAGAGCTTCAGATCTGAGAATGTTACCCCACTAGCAGGCTGGGACAATGGCATCAAGGGCTAGAGGCAGGGGAAGGGAGGACCCAGAGCAGAGGGCTAACCTGAGGTGCACCAAAGCAGGAACACTCACAGGGGCGGTGGAGTAGGGGCAGGGAGAATACTGCAGCCTCTAGCTGTGGCAATCGATGAAGTTAAAAGAATGGCACCACCATTTCCTGGCAGCCCGCATGCCAAGCCCAAGTCCCCGGTGCTGGTGGGGATATGATAGTGACCAACAGCAGCTTAGGAAGCAGGTGCTCCCTGCTAGGTGCTCACCTGAGACTTCTACACGGGTCACTTTAGCAATCTCCCAGAGGGCTCTATCAGGCGGTTAGTATCATTCCTCCCATTTCACAGTTAAGGTAGCTGAAGCCCCCCTTGCCAAAGGTCATTTGGTTGATAAGCAGTAGTGCCAATGTCACCCCTGAGAGCCCCACATCGGTCCATTCCCCTGGGCCCTGCCGCAGAGCTGGACTACCCTGGACTGGTCATGAGCCCCTACCCCCCTTGTGAGAAGCATGGTTGGGCTCGAGCGTCTGGCCTCTCTCACTCCGCTGCACTCAGGCTCTGTCATGTCCTTCACAGGAGACATGAGGTTTGCCAGGACCCACAAGAAAAGGCAAAGGGTGTGTATGTGGAGTGCGGGCAAGAAGAGACCAGAAATCAAAGCTGGTTGTTTGCAAGTGCAGACTCTATAGTAGCACCCCCTGACGCCGATCCTTCTCATTCTCACTGGTGGTCCTGGACCTCAGCTTCAGGGCTCACCACAGCCAAGAATTTCCTTCCCTGCCTCTTTCTCTGTGGCTCCTGCCTCAGTTGGTGCTGGCTATCTCCTGATGCCAGAGATGGCCTCTGGGGGCTGAAGGCCTGGGCAGTCCTAACGATGCCCACCATGTGGCTGGCAGGGATCTGAGCACACTCGGCATGCTGGAGATAAATACAGGGTCCAGGCACCTGATTCTGAACAATGGGCTATTCTGGGTTTAATTGCTCATCAAGGGGAAGGCAGGCTCTGGGCAGTGACCAGCCCTGGAAGGTCTGGACAAGCAAAGGAGCAAACACACCAAGGTGCAGGTGCACAACCTCCAGTAAACAGGTGACAAATTCCAGAATGTCACCGAGGAAGGGTGCTTAAAAAGCCACTAGCATGAGAACACTGCAACAGTATACACATCAGGAAACTGAGGCCCAGGGAGGTGAGGGCTTTGCTTCACTGCTTCAACCAATGTTCATCAGGCACTTCCCCAGGTGGGGCTTCATGTGCAGCCTCAGGAAACTCACATGTGTGTGGAGACAGATGGGGCATGTGCAATCCCAGTGCAGAGACAGTGACAGGGTGCACATGTCAGATGTCAGGACACGA